TCTCATTTGATCCTCACAAAAACTCTAGGAGGCAAGTGCTATTATCTCCATTTTACAGATGAAAATTGAGTTAAATAAAGGTTAACTGAATTGCCCAGGGTCATACAGCTAGGAAATGTCTAACACCAGATTCGAACTCGGGTCCTCCTGACTTGAGGCCTAGCACTCTAGCCCCTGTGCCACCAGCTGCTTCTAGATAAGAGTTCAAACTCCCCTGGTGTCAGTCTTCTAGTTCCCATTTGACCTCATGGCCACTTGAAGAAGACACAGAAGTGTACCCAGAGCAACCCTGCTTCTCATCAAAGAACTGTCCCAAAGAAGTCTTCCTGAAAAAGGTAGATGTCAATGATCTACCTCTTCTCTACAGCATCCAAACAGCATCTGCACTGCACAAACATACATGATTATATGCTGTTCTGTCCTCTACTTCTCTCAGTAAATCATTTCCTACTGATCCTATATATAAGTTGTTTGTACATATTTGTTTGTTTGTCTCCCTCACTAGACTGTGAGCTCCTCAAGGGCAAAAACTGTCTTTGATCTCTCTTTGTATTTCTGGTATTTTGCACAGTGCCTGGCCCATAGCAGAGGCTTAAAAAATGCTTACTGACTGACTGTTTTCTAATTATTTCATGCATATCAGTCTTTTCTTTTCTTTTTTTTCTTCTTAGTGAGGCAATTGGGGTTAAGTGACTTGCCCACAGTTACACAGCTAGTAAGTTTCAAGCATCTGAGGCTGAATTTGAACTCAGGTCTTCCTGACTCCAGGGCCAGTGCTCTACACACTGTTCCACCTAGCTGCCCCTCAGTCTTTTCTTCCTGATTGTGGTCTGTCCTTTGTTCTCAAAGAGGACCATGACATCAGGAAGTTGCCATGACTTGCATGTGAATTGGATTTAAGTGTTTAAGGGATGTGCAAAGTCACCAGCCTCACTCTCTCCTCCAGAACCATCAGAGTCCAGTGGCGAGATATAGATCAGGATGACTGGAGATGGTCCTGGATGCAGAGGAAGACCTTGGCCTTTTGTATAAATAAGGGTAGGGACATGTACTTCAGAACTGGAGATATTTAGCCTAGAGAAAAGAAGACATACTGGAGATAGGTCAGATGTCTTAAGGGATCTGGAGGGTTTTCATGTGGAAAAGAGAGATTAGGCTTGTTTCCCTGGCACAAGTAGGAAGTGGGAGTTTCAAGGGGGTAGACTTAGGTTTAATGTCAAGAAAAACGTCCTAACAACTAGAGTCACTCAAAAGCCGAATGAGTGTTCTCGGGAGGCAAAGGGTGTCCTTCAACACTAGAAAGGTCTTTAAGCAAAGGCTGGATTACCATTTGTCAGGTATACTACAGAAGGAATTCTTGTCTGAGATCCATCCCAAATTTGGGATTCTGTGATCCTAATAATAATAAGAATGATAGCCTCACATTTCTACAGTACTTTACAATTTAGGAAGTGTTTTTCTCATGGAAATCTCCTAACAGTTAGAAAAATCCAGAAAGGCTAATAGGCTGTCTTTTGAGGTAATGGGTTCACCATCAGTAGAAGTATTCAACCAATAGCTAAAGGACCACTTGTCAGAGATATTGTATACTTCAGGCAGGCGTTGGCCTAAATGTATTCACCTGCTTACTACCTGTGACTAAAGTCACTCAAACCTTCTATGCCTCAGTTTTCTCATCTGTAAAATGAGGAGTTTGGAGAAGAAGGCTTCTAAGGTCCCTTCCAATTATAAATTTAAAATCTTAAGATCCTATAAACTCTAAAATGCCTTTCAACTCTTGAGCATTTATACCTCTTGTATTGAGGCAGCTGGTGGTTCAGTGAGCAGACCACTAGGCCTGGCGTCAAGAAAACCTGAGTTCAAATTCAGCCTTAGACACTTCCAGGGCATGTCACTTAATCTCTGTCTGCCCCACCCCAGTCTCCTCATCTATAAAATGAGGAATAGCACCTACCCCCTAGTTGTTATGAGAATCAAATGAAGTAATATTTGTGAAGTCTTTTGCAAACCTTAAAGAGCTATATAAATACAAGGTATTTGTATATCCCCCAACCCCACCCTCCACTCCAGCCAGTACCGTGAAATGACAAGCATAGTAGGTGTAGAATAAATCCTTGCTGATTAAATTATGGCTCAGGTACCTTCTGAAGTCTTTAAGCAGCCTAGGGGGCCCACTTACTAGCTTTGTGACCTTGGACAATCTCTTAACCCTGTTTGCCTCAGTTTTCTTATCTGTAAAATGAGCTAGAGAAAGAAACAGCAAACCACTCTTGTATCTCTGCCAAGAAAACTCCAGATGGGGTCACGAAGAGCCAGACACAACTGAAAAACTATACAAAGGGGTCCATTTCTCTTACTCACCTCTGCCTTGCATATTCCTAGAGCTGGTAAGACCTTCTGGAAGAGTCTAGATATATGTGACCTGGGATGCCTAACAGCAGGCATCAATAACCCATCTTACTTATTATTGTTCTTATTATTGGCATGGAGGAATGTCTTCTCCAAGGTACTACGCATTCACCTAGCTCTCTTAGATGCCTACAGGGTGGTGTGGTGAGAAGTGCATTGGACCTGGGACTTGCAGATGGATGACATAGGTTCAGGTCATGGTTCCACCATCACTTACTAGCTGGGTAACCCTGAGCAAGTCACTTAACCACTGTGAGACTCATATCTTCCATTTGTAAAATGGGGGTGACCATCCTTGTATAATCTACTTTGAGAGCTATTTGTTGTAAATATCGAATGGGATCATGGATGGGAAATTGCTTTGTAAACGGCAAGGTGCTCTATAAAGTATGTTTGTTTTTATTGCATTTGAAGCACTGACTAGAGCAAGGATGGGGAACCCGAGGCCACTAGAGTGAAGCCAAACCAACCAAGGCTATCCTTCCATCCTGAGCGGCTGCTACCACATTAATCTCATCACACAGTGTGGTTTGTATTTCAAAACTCATTTCTCTCCGTGAGTGCTGTGAGAGCAGAAATGATACTTCCTCCTCTCAGTCTTATACTCGGTGCCCCTGCCAGCCATATGACCTGCTCCCTAAATACATCACCAACAAAGGCAATGTGGAAGTCAAAGACAAACTGGATTCTGCCCCCTCAGCCTGAGCACCTCTGGCTACCTGTGCTGGGCCGCTCTGAGGTCAAAAGTGGGCATGTGGGGAAGTTGTAATATTTCCATTCAACTTCTCATTCACTCAAATAGTATCTGATTTACATCTTTCCATCTACTATTTATTCAATTCACAGCCAACAGTGAGGATATTTCAGAACTGAAAAGTGAACATACATCAAAAAAGGAAAATATATTTCCCCCCTAAATTTCAGTGTGGTTATCTTTTTAATCACATAATCACTCATGTTTATATAGCCTAAGCTCTCTAAAGTACTTTTCTCACAAGAACCCTGCAGAGTGGGCTGTACAAGTGTTATTAGCCATGTTTTACCAGTCATTTCAGTTGTGCCTGATTCTTCATGACCCACTTTGGGTTTTTTTTTGTTGTTTGTTTTTTGTTTTTCTTTTTTTTGCTAGGCAATGGGGTTAAATGACTTGCCCAGGGTCACACAGCTAGTAAATGTCAAGTGTCTGAGGCCAGATTTGAACACAGGTCCTCCTAAGTCCAGGGCCGGTGCTCTATCCACTATGCCACCTAGCTGCCCCTTTATTAGGAGTTTTCTTAGCAAAGATATTGCAGTGGTTTGCCATTTCCTTCTCCACCTCATTTTATAGATGAGGAAACTAAGGCAAACAGAGTTAAGTGACTTGCTCAGGGTCACATAGTCAGTAAGTGTCTGAGGCTAGATTTGAATTCAGGAGGAGAAGTCTTCCTGACTCCAGAACTAGTACTCTATCCACTGTGCCACCTAGCTGCCCTACAGATGAAGAAATTGAAGAATAAATAAATAACATGACTTATTCATAGTCACAGAGCTAGGACTTGTCAGAGCCAGGATTCAAACCTGGGCCTCATGACTCCTAGTCCAGAAGCCTTTCTACTAAATCACAATGCTTCTCTACGTGCGCTATAAATCTTTCAGAATGCCTGGGTACACAAGAATACCCAACAATAAAATCTCATGTAAGCACAACCTGTCAGGTTACACAGGTTCCCAATGTGGCTGAAAAATCAACCAAATCTTTTTTCCCCCCTTTAAAGCATTTCTCTTAGAATCACAAAATCTTAGAACTAGAAAGGACCTCAGAAAACATCTAGTAGTCCAAACTCTACTTTTTACCCTGGTGCAATGAGTAGAGCACTAGAGCGTTAGACAGAAAGACCTGAGTTCAAATTCAGCCTCAGATACTTTCTGTGTGACCCTGAACAAGTCACTTAACCTCTGTGTCTCAATTTCCTCATCAGCAAAATGGGGATAATAATAACATCTACTTCCCATAGTTGTTGTGAGAATGATGTGAGATAATATTTGTAAAGCGCTTTGCAATCCCTAAAAGAGCTATATAAATTCTAGCTACTATAATAATACTTATTAATCATTCTTAAATTATAACATAAATAATTTAAAATTATAATTGGTATAGCAGCTGGAATGATAATGATGATGGTGATGATGATGATGATGATGATGAAAAAAACATGGCTCAGGGAGGTAGATTTCCTCAAGGGAAATTTGTTTAAATTAGGTAATAAACCTTCTGGCTGTGAACTGTATCTCAACCGTGACACATGCTCTCTCCCATACTGTGCTTAACCTTCCACATATGTTAATAAAACAACAAGTGCCAAGCCACCTGCCTTCCTATTGCACTAGAAGCCACTGAAAAGGAAGCCCAAACTCTTTTTAACCATTTGGTGCCATGCGAGGGCCCCTGGAAGTCTTCTGGTTTTAAGATCATCGTCACTGCAGCTAGTAAAGAGGTTACACCTATTCAGTTCTAAAAGCACGGGAAGGAGACGCCGGCTGAGCCCTCCCGACAGAGCCCAGCTCACCCAGGTTTCATCAGAGTGAGGTCACATCAGAATCACGGTACTTACCGCATGTTGTGTAAATGCAGAAACATCCTGTGTGTCATTGTCAGCGTCCAGCCTAATGAGCCTCCCAAGTTTGGGGGAACTTAGAACTGTGAATGTGATCGATTGGTTTCCCACACTGTCCTCATCATTGGTCACAGCTTTCAGGATGTGAGATGTAATGGACTTTGTGGAGCCTAAGAGACAAACCAACATAAAAATGTAGAATCAGTAATGCCCATCGTAACGTAGTGCTCCCTCTAAAAGGCTCATACTGAATGATCTCATTCCTTCTCTTATCCTTTCTGTGGGTTAGGAGCAGGCAAAGTATTCTCTTGGCTCTCTTTGGAAGCCATCTTTACCCCAATATTCTAGGAGCTGTGATTTCATCAGTATAGGGACACCCTCCATCAATGCAGATCATTGTCCCTTACTTAGTAAATGGTATTCACAAGTGGCTAGGACCAGAAAAAAAAGAAATCACTACTATGGTGTCAAACTCTAAGTCTAGAGAGAGATGAGATACTCCAAATATATCTTTAGGCCCTTTCCAGTGTGGTAGGGCCTGACAGAGTTTGTGCTCTGCTGGCACAGCCCTCAAGAACCCAAGGTCATGACAATCAGGGGCAGACTTCGTTTTGTTTTGTTATTATGCTAACATTTATATAGCACCTACTATGTGTCAGGCACTGTGCTAAGTGCTTTAGTAGTATTATCTTATTTGATCTTTATAACAAACCTAAGAGGTAGTTGCCATTATGATCCCCATTTTGTAGTTGAGGAAACAGAGGCAAACAGAGGTAGGTCACACAGGTAGTAAGTTTCTGAGGCCAGATTTGAACTCAGGTGTTCCTAACTCTATGTCCAAGGCTCTATCCACTGCACCACCTAGCTGATTCCTAAATGGATTCCAAATGGCATCTAGAACATTGCAGGATGGCCAGGGTGAAAGGGGAATTAACATCTTTCAACAAACAGCCCAAGATTTTAGTCACTTTCTTCCTGTGTAGGAGTAACACCTATTGTGAGAGTTGTGCACACAGTGGGTGCTCTGTAAACACTTGCTGACTAATCTTAATGCCATAAACAAAGCTTTTAAATGACAGCCTCGGTTCATCTATTTCATTAAAGTCACTTTAATTCAAGGGAGCAGGTGTTTCCCACTGTGTCGAGATGGCCAGACTTACTGCTTAAACCTAACCACAAATCTAAGAGCCTAAAACAGGACAGTGGTTATTATACTACAGGCCAAGTAAGGCTCTGGGGCTGGAGCCTTCTAAACATTTGAAAGTATTCTTTCTCAGTCCTCATTTAGCATTTAAAAATGCTTTTGGCCTCTGAGATGGGGAGTTTAATCCTGGGGATAGGTGGGAGTATCACAGGCTTAGGAATAGCCCAGCTCTATGCTGGTTAAAACCTTTACACATCACATTTCCTATTACAAACTGCCTCCTAGACTCCCTTGCCTCTGTAGGCTTAAACCCTTGAAACCACTGCCATCTTCAGGCCTTCAGAACTGATGGGTACAGGAATGAGAAGAGGGTGCCTCAAGAAGGCAGGGGGCAGGGTGGGATCACACGGCCCTGTGCCCCTAGCCAAGTTTCACAAAGTCAAAACCAGGTCTGAATTCCACCCTTCCTAGACATCAACCAATGTCATTATTTCAGCCCCAGCATTTATGCAGGAGGAGGGACATCAATCTTCCCACTTCTACTTTTCCCCCTTTGTGTCCCCATCATACTAATTGTTACCACAATCACCAAGTGAGGACAATTGATCTGTAGGGCAGGGAAGGAAGCAGCTGTTGCCAATAACCTTGATGAGGGTAACAGCCTCTCCCCATCCCCCACCTCCAGGCTGACTGTAGCAGCAGCATGTTTAGTTAGGGTGTACCCTCGGGGAATTATTTTAAGTGAACATTTATTGAATACTTAATCATTTTATTCATCAAACTAAAGAAAATAAAACAACTCTGATTTTTATTTTAAAAAATGACTGTACTTAAAACATAAAATTATAAAATTCAGGATAATCTTTTCAGTCTTTTTTTTTTTAATAAAAAGAAATCTTTCTGTTTCTTGTTCTCCCCTCTTATTCCCCTGCCACTCAACTGAAGGAAGAAACAAATATTTATTAAGCACCTACTATGTGCCAGGTACTGTGCTAAGCACTTTACAAATATCATCCCATTTGATCCTCACAAATAGCCCTGGGAGGTAGGTGCTATTATCATCCTCATTTTACAGATTAGAAATCTGAGGCGAACAGATGACTTGCCCAGGGTAACACAGCTTATAAATGTTTGAGATTGAATCAGAGTTCAGGTCTGACTCCAGGCCCGGTGCTCTACCTCCTGAGCCACCTACCAGGGGTTGGGAACCTGTAGCCTGCAGGCTACATACGGCCCTCCAAGTCCTCAAGTGCAGCCTTCTGACTGAATCCAAACTTCACAAACTAGCTGCATTGAGGTCCGTCCTTTGGAAATTTAAAATTTAAACTTTTTTTTGCCTTTCTTGTCTGTACCAACCAGAGCAGCAGGGTAGTGTGCTATAGGTAGAATCAAAGGAAAATGGCCAGAGAAATCAAAAGGGGGAGAGAGGAAGGGATGTCAAGTTGAATTTTTCTTTTTCCTGTCCTGGCTGTAGCAGGTTAGAGTGAGGAGGATGTCTCCAGGGTACAGACTACAAGAAGTATATCAGACCCCAGGCCTGATCTCAACAGGATTTGGACTCTGATAAACAGAACCACCACCAAGGGCAGGCAATACCTCTTCTGGAAGACAGTCTTAGCATGTCCATATTGTGGGGTGACCCTGTCACTAGAAGTACCTATTTCTTTGTCCTTCCTTAAAACCTAAAAGCCATTTTGGGTAAATAAGTGTGAAATGAACCAAGAAAAGAGGAGAGGCAGTGACTATCGAAACCAGGAGTCTCCAGAACCTGGTAAAGCCACTCCAGAAGGTTCCCATCATAGCTAGAGGGCAGGTCTTCCTGATTCTAGGCCCAGGGCTCTAGCCACTTAGCAGATTTCTAAATAGACACCAAATGGCATCTAGAACACTACAGGATGGCCAAGCTGTAAAGAGAATTCACATCTCTCAACAGACAGCCTGAGATTTTAGCCACTTTCTTCCCTTATAGGAGTAATAGCTTTTGTGGGAGCTGTGCACATAGTAGGTGCTCTGCAAATACTTGCTGATTGATCGCTCTCAGTGCCATACCCTGTACACACTCCTCTGAGTACTGAGGACAGTAACAGCAGGGTGAGTGAGACCTCTGTAGTGAAGTTCTATCCTAGATGAGGGGTTCTTAATATTTTTTGTGTGTATGTAATAGATCCCTTGGGCAGTTAGGTGTAGACTTTGGACCTCTTCTCCAGAAAATGTTTTTAAATTACTGAAGGAAACTCTAAATTGTTTTAAAGATTAGAGGAAATAAGGATGTAATTTTTACCCATTCAAATTCACAGTTCTCCTGAAATCCAAGGGGTCAGTGGATCCCAGGTTAAGAGCCCCTTTTTTAGAGAATCTGGATATTTGGGTGGCTTTTGCTACATCTATGTTATGTTTCTACTTCTGTGTTTTGTGCGTTTCTATGTAAAGAGCTCTATTACAAGCTGCCAGAATTCTTAAAATACAGTATTCAGCAAATATTGGAGAGAGAAGGTAATATATCCTAAAACCAGTGGCTGCCAAAATCCTTCTGAACTCTCTCTTGTTCTCTCAAGAGGGTCTATGCTGGAGGTCACAGAATCATGACACTCAGAAGGCAGGAGGTCCTGATAGAGAGGCAGTGGGGTATAGTGCACCGAGCACTGGGCTCAGAATCAGATCTTGGTTCAAATCCACATTAGCTACGTGACTCTGGACAACCCACTTCACAAGTTCACAGCCCCAATCTCCCACTCTGTAAGATGGAGATAATAATACCATTTATCTCACAAGGTTCTAGTGAGGAACAAATAAGAATGTAAAATACTTTGTAAACCTTAAAGCTCTATATAAACGTTAGCTATTAACCTCCATATTGTTTCTTCATTCCTTGCTCCTTTGTAACACGCTTACCATTCACTTCTCTCCCCTTTTTGCCTCCTAAATGTCTAGAACCTAAGCCCACATTAGAGGCCAGAACTACTTCTTAACCTAAGCTTGTCTCCATGCCAGGTGGGTGAATGGTCTATCTGAGGACCCCTTTTCTGTCAAGTAAGACACTCAGAGGAAGCAAAGCATAGAGTCTACGGTTAGGAAGGTCTCCATTCCAGACCCACACCTGCCACATGCTGGCTGGGTTATCCTAAGCAATGCTCTTATTCTACCTCTTATCTTTGGTACAACTAGTCTACCTGGGCATGTTCAGTCAACAGGAACAGTTCCGTCCAGGACCTTTCAGTTATACCACTTTCTCTCTTGGTGATCTTTTCAAAGTGCCTATTGACCTACAGACCTATATAATATTATTGATAATATAATAATTAACTATATAATATTGTCATTGATTACCCAACTATAGTTCTCATCTTCAAGGAACTTGTATTCTAAAATGGACAAAGTGAAAGTAAAGAGGGTGGTTTAATGGAAAAAATGTTGGATCTGGAGTTGGAGATCTGGGTTCAAATTCTGACTTTGACACTTTTTAGCTGTGTGACCCTGGGCAAATCATTTCAATTCTCTGGGATTCAATTTTCTCAGCTCTAAAATAAGAGGGCGTGGATTAAATGACCTTTAAAGTCCCTACCAGCTCTAAATCTATTATCTTACTTTATTAGATAGTGAATTAACTACTTTATCTTGCCTTGTAAAAGGCAATCTAGCAAACTGATTATTTTTTCCTATAAAAACTCAAGTTTCAATCTATATTCATCAAAAAAGTGTTCTTCTTTATGGGCCAAAGGAAAAAAAATATAACACCATCTGGGTCAGCTGAGGTGGAACACAACATTCCCTGATCCATTACTCTGCTTCTACAGCCCAATGTCAACAGCCACTGAGAGATTCCTTTTCTGGGAAGGTAACCTCTATCCATCACCTGTGGCTTTAAATAGCAATATGGGGAAATGACCATAGACCATGAGGATCAGGGCCCATAAATGATTGCTATAGGTGCTAGCGTGCAAAAGACTACTTACTATTTCACCACACCTAATGTTTAAATGGATTCTCAGTTTAGGAGAAGTGTTGTTGTTGTTGAAAGTGTTTAAAAAAAAAAACCCTCCTAAAAAAGAAAAACCCAAAACTTAAAAGGCCTACTTATATTAATTAGTATATGGATTTTGGTGTTGTCTTTATGATTTGGTGTGAGTTTCTCATTTAAATTAAAGGAGGAATAATTTCTTCCCCTCATATGGTCAGGAAAGATTCTGGAGGAAAAATGTGATTTCAAGCGGAAGGACTCTTGAGAAGGAAAGGACATTTAGATACAGGACATGGTAGGTGTTCTAGGCTGTATGCAGAAATTATAAAACACCTGAGGGCTTCAGGATAATCAATGGTGAGGGAAGAATTTTGGTCATTTTTTTTCTTTTTTAAAAGTGTCTATTTTTATGAATGAGTAATAGAAATCCAAAGGGCTTGGCTCTCTAATTAAAGTGGCCTTGTACCTTTCTCTTTAAACATACCACTGTCTTAATGAATATAAAAATGTGGCCAGAACACAATGAAGATACCTAAATTAACGTGAACAGGTCTTTCCCTATCTGTGACCCTAACCAAAAAACATAATCTTTTTTGGGACTCAATCTCTCCATCTGCAAAATGGGAGACTGGACTATAAAGGAAGCAGCACAGTGGAAAGTGCTGACTCTTGAATCCAAGGACCTGGTTCAAATCCTGCTTAAGCTATTGAATAACTATGTAAATTTGGGCAAAGTCTTTTGCTCTCCCTGGGCCTCAGTTTCTTCAAACATAAAATGACAGGGCTGGACAAGGTGACCTTTGAGGTCCCTTCCACCTTCAGAACTACAATCTTATGACTAAGTTATTTCAAAAGTCTCCTCTTCAGTTCAAGAATCTTTCAGAACACTATTTTTTTTACAGCCAGATTTTCTAAGTTTATCACTTTTAGGTCATCAGTCCAGAGATACCTCACCATTCTGAAGTAGTTTTTAACTAAATGGTACCCTAATGGCCTGAAAGATGAGTCATTGTTATTTTTTTTTAAATAAAACCAACTTTTTTTCTTGATATATTGTTTCTGTCTACAGCACCACAATTTCCTTAGTCACTCACCCAGGCTAATAACCTTGGATTCCTCTTTGATTCCTCTTTCTTCACCTCCCATCCCCACCCATTTTAATTAGTAACCAAGGCTTGTTGATTCTATCTCTGCACATTCCTCCCATCTGTTCCCTCCCTATTCATCCCCACGGCCACTGCCTTAGTTCACAGTTTAGAATCCCACCTCCCTAGCCTTCACCTTGATTATTAAAATAGCCTCTGATACTCTGTCCCCTCCTCCAGTCTCTTACTTCTAACTCATCTGGCAAAACAACTGACAAATTAATTTTTCTAATGCATAGCTCGGATCATACCATTATCCTAGTCAAACTTTTAATAGCTCTACATTAATGACTGACTGAATAATGTACAGACTTCTCGGTCAAATCAATAAACATTTATTAAGCCTCCACTTTGTGTAAGGCACTGTGCTAAGCAGTGGGGGATACAAAGAAGGGGGAAAAAAAGGTCCCCACAGTCTAATGGGGGAGAAAATGTGCAAACAACTGTGTACAAACAAGATACATACAGGATATATTGGAAATAATCTTAGAAGTAAGGCATCAGTAAGAAGGGCTGGGAATGCTGCAGAAGGTGGGACTCTAGCTGAGACTGGAAGAAACAAGAGGCAGAGTTGAGGAGGAAGAGCACTCCAGGAATGGGGAACGGCCAATGTAACGGAACAGAGCCTGGACTTAGCGTGGCCTGTGTAAGAAACAGCAGAAAGGTCAATGTCGCCAGACCAATTACAGAGTTACACGGAGAGAAGTAAGATGTGAGCAGACTGAAGGTGCAAGAAGGGGCCAAGCTATGAAGGGTCTGAATGCCTTAGCTTGGTATTCAAAGCCCTCCACAATCTGGCTGCAGCCCACTTTTCTGGCTGAATAAGACTACTCTCCCGATGTACTCGATGCTCCAGCTAAACTGAACTACTTTGCCATCACCTGATCATTTCTTCAACCTTCCCACCTCTGTGTGTGCTAATCACCATCCCCCTAAACCCAGAATGCCCCATCCTCCACAAAGCCTTCTAATTTCTATCAGAGGTCAATTAATCTACTTGATCTCGGGTACATTCTAGGCTTCTTGAGGACAGAGATCACATCTTATTGATCTTTGTATCTATCCCAGCACCAAGCACAGTACTGTATGCAGTAGGCACTTAATAAGATCATGGGATCATAGAACAAGAACTGTAAAGGACCCCTAAGGCTGTCTAATCCAACCTGCTATTAAATCACTTGCCCAAGAACATACAGCAAGTAAGTGGTAGAGTTAACATTTGAACCCAGGTCCTCTGACATCAAATCAAGCGCCTATTGTATGCTTAAATGAGATATGGGGGTGGGGGGATAAGGATGGGAAGGAAGGGGTAGGGAAAGGGCAATAAGACTTGTTTCAGCTAAATTCCTACAAAGAAAAAAAAGTCCTGCTCTAAGTTCAAAACAGAGACATAGGAAAATATGTGCACAATTCACCATATCTCTCCATGACCAAAAATAGCACATTCTGACTATGTAAATGGAGCATTCTAATCAAATGGAATGTATAAACTTAGCCCTGAAAATTCCCTTCACTTCAAGTCTTACCTGGAAAGACTCCCAGTCCTTTGTTTGTTTCCAGACTGAGGACCAGCGCTTGAGCTGTGATGCTAAAAATCTGTCGGGGTGCAAAGTTCAAGCCATCAGTAACCTGAAAGCTAAAACCACCAGACATTGCTCCTGTAAAAAGAAAAATGGCATCCTTGTCACTTCAGTTAATCAACAAAAACAAACTCCAGCAAACCATACTCTCATCTGTTAAACACGAAAGAGGGAGGCAGAGAGTAAGTACACAAAAGCTAAATATTGTAGTTTTTTTCAAGGTACTTTTTAAAAAGGCATAACTGAAGGTTTGAAAAGTATATATATGGGTATATGTATGTAAATCTACATGTATGTATATGTATGTATGCAAATCTACATGCATGCACACATATGTTTACATATTGTGGTAACTTAGTAGGGCAAGCAGTGACTATGTAAACCCTTTGTAGTGAAGTCACTAACACTGACTAAGTTTTTCAAACAGATTCATAGAATCTTAGGCAAGCTAGAAGGCATCTCAGAGGTACCCTTTTATTATTTTAAAGATGAGGAAATGAGGCCCAGGGCGGTTAAATGATCTGCCCAAGGTCACACCAGGCCCTGTGCATTCAAAGTCAGTAGGTTTTCCAGGAATTATTTGAACCACAAACACAAGGCCAAGTAGTGGAACTTGTGGGATAGAAAAATGTTGGTACAAATAATTAGTAATAACTACTGAAGGCAAGAAATGGGGCAAGGGGAAGGGGGGAGGATTATATGGGAAAATTTAAGGATTGTCAGCAGTTCTAATTGTTTATCAGTCTCAACCTATCTGTTTCTACTAAATACACATAGTAAAAGTGATGGATAATCTCCCTTACTTCTGTGAGGGGATCAGTGATTTTTCCAGTTATAAATTAACATTTGAGCAAAACTGAATCTGAGAATAAGAGCCCAGATTGATGACTTCCTCCAGGAGAACTTTACCAGCCTTGTTCCCAAAGTTCAAGTAAAATAGAAGATTTACAAATGTAAATATTTACATTATTTTCATCCTCTAAGAAATGCTCATTTAACAGCAGGCTTGGAAACAACATTTTTTTTTTTTGGTCTCATGTGCTCATTTGCCCTCTGGGTCATTGTGTGGCAAAGGCAGAGGGAGGGCATCACCAGGCGCTGCAGCTCCATCGTGAGCATGTATTTGCTTATTAAAATTATTTCGTAAAGGCAACTCCCTAGTCTAACAGGCCTCTCAAGTTCTCATTATCCAATCAAGCCAAGTTAGTTCTTTTGCCATATAAAAAGTTTATAGACTATTAAAAAAATCCCACGTAAACTCAAAAGCTCTCTAATAAAAGTAAGAAGCCTGTGTTTCATCTACCTGAGAGCAAAAAACCAGAGTGGAATGCTGTATTTACAATGTACAATGGAACTGAGAAAGTTGTATATAATGAAGCTTGAAATTAAAGTAACTCCTTATCATTTTATAATCAGGGCATTTTATGAATATAAAAACAAAATGGAGACTAGTAAAAAAAAATAACTATATCAAGACAGATGCTGGAATATGATACCAGACACACCATGATGCCTGGCTAATTAGAACAAAAATTAAGGTAAAAGAGGAGATATAAAAGCTGTGTGGTCCTGTGGTAAAGGGAACAGATGGGAAACTAAGGGGGCACACAACCCCATCCAGATGCAAGCTTTCTGTGTGATCCCTAAGTCACTTAGCCTCCCAAGTCTTGATTTCATCAACCTACTTGGGAGGCTATGTGGAATAATGAATTAGATTAATAGCAAAGCACTTTGCAAATATAAAATGGTATGGAGGCAATTGAAGAAAAACTCTTTTGTTGGGTGGCAGATAATGGATTGATGCACCAGTGGGCTGGCCAGCTGTTCTAAGCAACAGAGACATTTGTGGTTAAGAGCCAACCCATTACATTTTCAGAGTCAACATGAGGGTTGCTAATAGCATTCAAAGTGGGCTGGAGTCCATGCTTTACCTTCCTCAATCTCTTACTACCTTTATTTCCAACTGTTATAAAAAGTGGAAAATGATTTTGTATCCTGGCTAAAAGCTAAACTGAATATTGACATCTTGAAATATTACTCAACTCTTTGAAGGTTTTTAATTGGGAAGCTGCATCAAGATGCTTATTCAGGAGAAAATTTTAAAGATTTGTGTGCATACAGCATAATCCTGGGACTGCGATAATGCTACCAAGACCCAACGCTCCTCACACCAGGATGCTGACATCTTGGAAGCTATAAATACTGCAGCCTGCATCCACTATACATTCTAGATCATGTTTTAAACTTTGGGTTTACAGGTCATTACAGTCATGGGTTACATTACAGGCCATTACAGTGGGTTACAGTCATGTTAGTGCAACTCATGGTTCATAAAGACAATCAAGAAAATTGTCCCTTTTCTCCCTGATCGGTTTTCCTTTCAGAAGAAAAAAATAGTTTTCGTTCTGTAAAGGTAAACTGAGTTTTGCATAAGCATTACTCGAGCAAATTGTAAACAGAATGGACTGGACGAATAGATAATTGACTCTTGATCATCTTTGTTAACGGAAGGAAGCAGAAGCACAGATAATTCACAAAGACAGATAATATACCCCTTGTATAATTGTTTTACACATATTTGAATATAGGGATATAATGGCCTGGGAATTTGCATTTTCAAATAAGGTAATAAAAACACACCTATCTGACTCAAAATCCTTCCCATTCTGCTAAGTCTTCCTCCCCTCCCCTACTTCCACCCCTATTCCTTTCCTTTACCCCCCAATCCCATCACTTATTTCATGCAGAGAATGTACTACTTCAATTCTCAAACTAATTTAAAATACTTGCCTAAAATCAAGTTGGACTTTTTCTACAGACCAGTGGGTCCAAATCATCCTTAGGGTAGGGAAATAATTGTTTTGGCTTAAAAGGCTTTCTTTTCCACCTTCTGCTGGTCATCAAATTATTTAAATTAAAAGGGGAGAGGGAAGGTAAATAACAAAGTTGGTAAAAATTTGAATGCCAGTTTTGCAAATAACCATATCCTCCTCCCCCCCAAAAAAACCACCATCTGTAACATTACTAAAAATTACTGCATGGTTCTTAGTACAGATCCTAGAAATGATTTAGGTAGCCTGTAGTCTTGGGTCTAGGACAAAGACAATTTTTAAGTACTAGGTAAACATCCAATAAAAATGCATTTTAAAATTAAAGTAATACTTTTTAAAGCACTACCTTTTTTTCCCTTAACTACATACCGGTGTGTACAAACACTAGGTGGCCCTCATTGATGTGAGCTTGGGTGAAATTCAGGATGCTTGTATTTGGAAAAGATTTCAGAGCCAAGTGACCATTGCTGGGAAGGGTGACAGAGTAGAACAGTTCTCCTGGTGAGGAATCAATGTCTTCTGCACAGAGATCACTTTGGGTTATTTCAGTAACAGAATTCACCCAGACCTTAAAAATAAAAGCACCACATATCTTATATGGATTGAATCAAACCATCATTACTTTTCTAAAATGGCAAACCGTATCCCTCCCTACCCCCAGATCAATGACTTTAAAATTTCACGGCAGAATGACATTATTTTGAAACATGAGACTTTCTACCATGCAAAATATATGTTTAACAAACATAGCAACATGTCATGTGTTTTATCTGACATTTTATACACTACAGGGAGTTTCAATCGAAAGTATATGCACTTTGAGTAAATGACACAGAATCACCATCGATGAGAGTTGGCAGGGGCCTTCACAGCCATCTAATCTAAGCCAAGACTTACAAGGAGGGAGAATCCATCATGTCTCCAGGCATCCAATTCCACTTTTTGTCGCTCTAATCGTTAGGAAGTTTTCCCTGATATCAAGTCTAAATTTGCTTCTGCAACTTCCAACCACTGTTCCTGGCTCTGCCCTCTGGCCAAGTGAAATGTCTAGTCCTTTCCCCATGTGACAGCCCTTCATATCCTTGAAAATGAGTAACATGTCTTCCTTGAGCCTTCTCTTCTCCCCACTAAGCACCCCCAACTCCTTTACCTGAGATCTCATGGCATGTACACTTGAGGTTCTTTGGCAGCCAGATGGTACAATGGATAGAATGCTGGGCCTAGAGTCGGGAAGACCTGAGTTTAAAGACCTCAGACACTTTATTAACTGTGTGACCCTGGGCAAGTCACTTAACTTCTGCCTCGGTTTCCCCAAATGTAAAATGAGGATAATAATAGCATCTACCTCCCAGGGTTGTTGTGACAATTGAATGAGATAATACATGTAAAGCACTGAGCACCTGGCACCAAATGACAACTCTCCCGAGCCCTGTGCTTTCTGTTCTGTGACTGTCTTCTCTATCCAGATACCCAATTACCTCTGGGCTTCTGAGGTAATTCAAAATGGTACCTTACTAATCCTATTGCAGGCAGCACAAGCACTGTTACTTCGGGAGTCAGTGGTCATAACAGCGTCAGATGTTTCTCCATTGTGAAATGCGTCTATACCCTGGTACGGCTTGTATCATTCACACCCTACCCACAACCACTGTGTGCTCTGTATGTTATGTGAGGACTCCCCCCGCCCCACCCACTTTGTGGTTAAAAGAACCCCATGTATTTAATTGCTGGATTCCAATTGGGAAATTTTGGGGAAGAATACTGGTGATATCCTATTACCCTGAAAACCTCTCAGGACCCTTGGAGCCACTAGGGCACCTGCTAGAGGCCCTGTCTTGATTCTCAAAGACCTATGAATGAATTAAGCACTTGTTGTTTGTAAGGCACCATGCCAAGTGCTGGGGATGCAAATGCGAAAGAAAGACAGTCCTTGCCTTCAAGGGAAAAAAATTTAAAAATTTTTTAAAAATGTTTGTTCCCTCCCTCTTCCTTTGCCATCCAGGTTGCCACATTTATTCCTAATTTTTATCTACTACATATTCATTCCTATGTATTTATTCCTAATGAAAATTATGCTGTTAAAAAATGACAGCATAGGGGCAGCTCAGCAGCGCGATGGATAGAGTATCAGCCCTGGAGTCAGAAGGACCTGAGGGAGAGGAAAGAAAAGGATAGCATGTAACCTAAGGAAGAAAATATTCATCTGTTTCTAGGCTTTCTTGAGAACAATACACTGCTAACTGACACACGTGTTGCTGCACATCTCCTTAAGATCACAGGACTTGGTAGAGTTGTAAGGATCGGGATCTTAGATGTTCAGCTTCCTCACTGTGCAGAAGATGAAACAGGTTCAGAGAGGTGGGTGACACCCAGCATCACCATACTATGTGGCCTTTGCATCATCCTCACCCTCTGGATAAATAAGCATTCATATAAACTCTTCTTAACCTTGAAGTAAGAATACACAGGGCGACTGATGTAGAGCCGGAAGAGTCCTTAGAAATTCTAGCCCTACACTATAATGTTGCAAAAGAGGAAAATGAGGTTCAGACAAGTTAACCACGTTCCCAAAATCACACAGGTGTGGCAGAACATAGGTTAGTTAAGATTAAAATTCCTCTCCAGTGTCTCTGGACAAAAATGTTGTTCTGTTTTCCAATATCGAACATTTCAAAATCCACACATGTTGTTTGAATTCAGCTTCTTTCTCTGTGAAATGGACAAGTTGGTCCAGATTATCTCCAAGGTCCCCTTTCTAGCTCTATGTTTATGAGCCTGAATTATTTCAACATGGAGTCTACCATTTTGAAGTTCTACTTTTTTTTCTAACCTGTATTTTATTTAGATCACATGAGAGATACATGGAGGAGGAATGTGATGTATTAGAAAGAACATGGCACTCTTAGAAGATCCGGGTTCAAATCCTACCTCTCCTTTCTGGGCCTATTTCCTCACCTGTAAAATTAGGGATTTGGACTAGAAGACCCCAACTGCCTTTTCCAGCTCTGTGACAATAACGCCAGTTAGTGGTCTTATCATAAAATACCATAAATGGTCACATTTATAAATATCTTAACATTCAAACTGCACATACAAAGACATTTCTGGAGAGGTGGGGAACACGAGAGGGGAAATTAAGGAAGGATTCCTGTAGGTAGTGGCACATGGACTGAAAAAAAAACATGTGAGATAAAGTTATAAGACTGATTTTGTGAAGCTTATAAACCAGCAGTTCTAAAAGAGATGGCTTAAAAATGTTTGGTGCAATGGGAATATCAGACAGTTTGGGATTCTTACTCAGAGGTGGAGGTGAAGAGGAAGAATATTCCAGGTATTGGAGGGGAGGTGGCAGCCTGCACAAAGGCACTTGAGGAAAAAGATAAAATGTCAAGTGTGGGGAGTACCAAGTAGGCCAGCTAGGCTAGAGCACAGAGAAGATGAAGGAGAAAGATGTTCAGTCACGTCCAACTCTTCGTACCCCAGTTTGGGGTTTTTCTTGGCAAAGATACTGGAGCAGTTTGCCATTTCCTTCTCCAGGCACACAGGGTTAGGTGCGTTGCCCAGGGTCACCCAGCTAGTAAACATCTGAGGTCAGATTTGAACCTCAGGAAGATGAGTCTTCCTGACTCCAGGATTGGCACTCCATGCACTGTGCCACCTAGGTGCCGACTTATGTGACCTACCTAAGATCAAAGACATAAGTAGTAGAAGTGAGATTTGAACCCAGATCTTCTGATTCCAAATCTAACCAGTGGATCAAAAATTTAGAGCTGAAAGGAAGCTCAGATGTCATCTAGTACAGCCCCCTTATTTTAATGTTAACCAATCAACCCGCATTATTAGGGGTTCCAACCAAGTACCAGATACTGTGCTATGTGCCAGAGTTACAAAAAATGCAAAAAACCAGTTCCTGCTCTAAGGAAGCTCACAGTCCAATAAAGCAGACAACATGCAAACAAATTATATTTTTAAATATATATGTTATATATTGTTATATATATAATGATATATGTTATATATATAATTATATATGACATGTTACATACAATTACATGTGATTATCTACCATATATAATTATACCTACAGATGTATACATATACATAATATACATATATACAATTTTGTGTATGTGTGTAGAAATAAATAAAAAACAGATGGCCTATTGGGCTCCTTCCACAAGTCTAAGAATTCTGTACTGGGTCTGACTATAAAGTAATGAGGGTATGTGTGTGTGTGTGTCTGTGTGTGTGTGTGTGTCTGTGTGTCTGTGTGTGTGTGTGTGTGTGTGTGTGTCTGTGTTTCACAAACATATTTTCGTCCCATGACCTCTAGAACAGGCTTGCCAGAGAGAACAAGGCAGACTTCAGCCCTTCACTGGATTCTGTGCTTAGAGCCTCAGACGGCTTTCAGATTGCACAAGATTTCCCTCAAAGGCAGGCAGAGCAAAGGAGAAAAAAGATATATTCACGTGGAGAAAGCCACCTAGGGAATCAGAGTCAACAAAATTGCTCCGTTACCAGAAAGTCTCATCCCACTCTCTTGTCTTACCAACACAGACGGCTCTAGCCAGGGCTCTCCTTGATCTTATACGTTGCCTGTAGAAAGTCTCCCAGTGGAAGGGGGCTCACAGATAGCCTCATTACAGGAACTGGCATCACTGCTTCCTCCTTGCCCTGATGACTCCAGCACCCTGCCTTCCTGATTACAGTTACACAAATAGCCAAATGAATGCTTTTCTTTAAACTGATATTCCCATTGCCTCAAATATTTTTAAGGCATCTCCTTTAGCACTGCCTTCAGGGCCAGTTTATAAGCTTCACAAAATCAGCCTTACAATTTTATCTCACACCTCTTATTTTTTTTTTTATTTTTATAAACACGGCACTATTCAACATCTCCTACCTTCTTCACCAGAATTATAGCTGAATAATTTTTGACAGTTTCCAGAATAACATTAGTCCTCAAAGGATGAGTGGTTTTTTGTTTTTTTTTTGGCAACAGTTAACAGCATTTTTTTTTAAGTTTTTTTCCCTCTTAATGTAAGGTCAGAAGAAAAATAAAATAAATAGAAATAAGTTTCAGAAACAGATACTTAAGGAGGAAGAAGAAGGAATCATCAGCATCCAGGGTGTCTTAGGTGAGGTCAGCATGGACAGAATCTGCCTGCCTACTTCTCATGGCCCTGAAATCCATGACCATGACAAAAGATGAGCATTTTCTACCTTCAGAAAAATGTACTACAAGAATCTCAAAGACACATCCTCAAAAGCCGCAAAGTCTAATCACCTGAATTATGTAAGTAGCATTTAGGTTATTGTCAGTTCCAGGCAAATTGTTAGTAAATCTTTCTAATTGCTGGTATGTGGAATATAAGGCTGCAGCTATCATTCACGTGGAATAAATACATACTAGAGTGCTTCTGTCTTTTTTTGCTGGGGAGAAGGAGGTAAGAGTGGAGGGAGGAAACCAGACTTATAGGCTCTTTGTTACAGGGAACACTAGATGAAGAAACTCTTCTACCAATGCAATACCAATACTACTCCTGCTCCACAAAAAACAAACAAACA